GTGGACATGTAGGTGAGCAGTGATTAGGGTTAGGTGTGTCTCTAGGTGTGCGTGCGCCTCTTTAGCATAATAATAGACACTATGTGGCTCACAGCAGGGGAGCGGGGGATTTAGAGGCCAAGGTCTCCTGCGCAAAAAAGCGCAGCCTTAGTCAAATTAGTGTTAACAGGATTTATTAGAGCATTTCCTGACAAAGAAATGGACAGCAAACGGCCTCGAGCGTCTCTCTCTGTGGCCACTAACAAAACAAGTTCCAACTAAGACCTAAAAAAAAGAAGAAGAAAAGTTTAGTTTTCTCTCCGTTGGCCTCACTCCTCATCTCTTCATTCTTAATGAGCTCAGATGGAAGGCAGAATCAGAGCGGCAGAAAATTTGCCTGAACAGAACTTCATCTGTCAAGGCCCTGATGTGAAACAGAGGGAGCACCAGTGAACAGTTTGACCCTGCAGCCTGTGGTCATTGTGCAGTCAGCTCTGTCACACTGGGTCATCTGGGTCTTGGGTTGCTCCACTGAACAAATATGCCCAAACAGACCCACATATGTATCAACTAGGATCTGGACTGTCATTGTCCTAAATGATGACAAAAATGTTTGCTCTTCATTTGCTCTTTTCTCTTATCATTGTCACCGTGACTCATCAGAGAAACATCTAATATATAAGAATAAAAGGCATTCACAGTCTTAAATCAATGATCCATAATACAATAATTTAACAAACTGCAGAGGTCAGTCTCCTGGATTGTGTTTCGACAAGCAGGTTTAGAGACTGTAGACACATTCATGGATGGACGACTGACTTTGATAATCCCAGCCTGGGATGGTCTTATTGTTTCAGCAACAGAGAAAAACACAGCATCAATTTGAAAGGATGGCAATGAAGACGCTGTGCAACAATATGATTAATTATGATGGAAGTCATATTATTACGAGAATAACATGACTTGTTCATTTTCTGTTCCTGGGTCGGCTCTGACCTGCTGTGGACAGCAATATGTGTCACTGTGTTTATGAAGTAGTCTGATTACTTTTAGGCCATTGTTAAGAGTAATATGCTTCCTTCCACACCATGTGTCGACTAAATGTGTCAATGAAGCCACTGATTGCAATACCATAGCATTTCTTTATTTGTAAAACTGTTACCAAAGTATAACTTCACAAGATGCACAACGTCCCTTAATTTAACCCAGTGGTAAGCTTTTCATGTAGAAGTTCTCATAATATAATGACTTTATTCTCATATTATTATGACTTTAATCACATTATATTATGTATTTACATTGATGTGTATGTGTATGTATGTATGTGTATAT